CTCTTTTTTTCTCTCTCTCTCTCTCTCTCTCTCTCTCTCTCTCTCTGATCAAACTGGAAAAGAATAGTGATAATAATAATAAAGTTAAATAAAATAATTTTTTTAAAAAAATAATAATTATTTAAAAAAAATAAAAAGGCAAGTTTTTTTGTACAGTATCGAAGGGTTGATGGAGGAAACTACTGAAGGCTGGAGGTGACCAAGGTGGGTCTGTCGCCTCTCAAAACCTGAGGAGCTCTGCTTTTTTTTTTATTCCTTCCTAGGAATCCTGTTCACTGGGGAGCTCTGGGAGTTCTTGAGCTTTGCCGAAAGGTACCCCACCATCATCTATAACATCCTGCTCTTTGGCCTGACCAGTGCCCTGGGTCAGGTGAGTGCTTGAAAGACGATAACAGTTTCTCCACTGTGGTAGTGGGTTCCCGGAAAAAGACTGGCCTGGCTGGGAGAAGAGGGATGGCAAGATTAGTCCAGACATCAGTTCAGATTTCAGACTTCTAGCAGATACTCAAGAACCAGCCTGACCCCCCTTTCCCTGTCTTTGGCCAGAGCTTTATCTTCATGACTGTTGTGTATTTTGGCCCCCTGACCTGCTCCATCATCACCACCACTCGGAAGTTCTTCACCATTTTGGCGTCTGTGATCCTCTTCGCCAATCCCATCAGCTCCATGCAGTGGGTGGGCACAGTGCTTGTGTTCCTGGGTAAGTTCCATCCAGAGGGATCTTTCTGAGCCACACCGAGGGATGGTGACAGGGCCTTATATTCCCCTCCTAAAACATACTTGTATATTTATGAAATGTACTTAGATATTTTAGAGAAAACTTTGTTTACAAAAAGAAAAAAGGGCTGGCTCCATGCCCTGGTGGTTAAGGCAGCTGGACCCCCTATGGCTAACCACATGGTTTGAATCCTGAACCCAGTGGCTTGAGAAACATACTGGGCACATGTGTGTGCATGCCCAAAATCCCAGGGAAGATGGAAGAGAAAGGATTGTGGCATGACTGTGCCTGGGGGAGTGCCTTATCCTTTCCCTCTCTCTCTGGTGAGTGCACACACCCTCTTGGGAAAAAGAGAAGAGGAAGCATGTTTTTTTTCTTAGAAATAATTATAGGGAACCAGCAGTTAGCGTAATGACTATGTCGCTGGACTCCCACGTAGTCGACCGCAGTTCGTGTCCCAGACCCGGTGGCTTAAAACTCACGCCGGGCACGAGTGTGTGCGTGCCCAAGATCCTGAGAGGAGAATGGAGGAGAAGGGATTGTGGCATGACCATCCTCCCTGGGGGATGATTTCTCGCTTTCTGTCTCTATGTGTCTGTCTGGCGAGCGCACACACCCTATAGTGAAAACCTCTCCAAAAAAAAAGAAAGAAATAATGATAAAATCCAGCCTTTCTAGTGTGCATTTCATCAGAGTGATTTCCTTCTGGTAACAGAGTTCTCCAAACCTAAGCAGAGTAAAATTGTCATGCTCACTCCCTACCAGTGTTGCTGTGGACAAGCTGAGAGAAATGGCTTAGACGTTTTGACTCAACGTTTCTTTCAGTCTTGCTATGTTCATATATATATATGTGTGTGTGTGTGTGTGTATATATATATATATATATAAACAGTATCTTGGTAATTTTCCTTATTTGGTGCTATCTCATTGTCTCTAAGGCAGTTATAAAAGAACCAGTGTTCTGAAATTTAAATTGGTTAAAACCCCAGTTTTGCGGAGCCACGGCTGACACCCACCCCCAAAAAATCATTTGTTCGGTTTCATCTCCGCAATAAAGGCTAAGCACATTCTCTCCCTTTCTAGGTCTTGGGCTTGATGCCAAGTTTGGGAAAGGAGCAAAGAAGACATCCCACTAGGAAAAGAGAGACTACCTCCACTCCGAGAATATTTAAATTATTATCTCAAACAGGGACATCTCTCGGCAGAACGGACTCAATAGGGATAAGGGACTGAGTTCCAGGTTTTAAAAAAAAAAACAAAAAAAAAAACGCAGCAGCGAAATCACATATTCTAAAAAAAGCACTTGGATTTGAACCAGACAGTTGGCGGTTTCTGTTCTTGATGACCTGGAGCACCATCTAGCATAAATAAAGAGAGAAGGAAGAGACAGAGCTTGATGCCTGTTCCCCTCGCTGCTTCTCGGGTGTAGTTAGCATGGCCGAGTGGGTAACTCCCCAAGAGCCTGAGTGTCACAGGGAGGAATTGTAAGAGATTTTGTATCTGCACTGTTCCTTCGGCTGAAGCTCTCAATATTCTAAGGCAGGCGGCTGTTACAGAGAATGTAAAAACCAGTTGAACTCTCCAAGCTCTGGTGGGCACATACTTCCTAAGACACTAAAGGTATGTTGCTTTCTAAAGAAACATTTTGTGAGATTGGGATAAAAATGAGCCTAAATCCTGAGAGTCTACTGGGTTTTTACACTTCCCCACTGCCACCCCTACAGTGAAAGCTTGGCCAAAGCCCAAGTGGAGACCGAGTGCTTATGTCTTGAACAACTTTGGAAGGGTTCTGAGTGTACTTTTCCTGATTCCCTCCATCTCTGTGCTCGGGCCCCCTTGCAGAGGCTGGGTTAATCCCTCCTATTCTCCTGCCTCCCTCAGCTGCTAAAATATGGCTCTGCTATCCTGGCTGTGCCAAGGTGTCACCGTGCCAGCCTCTGCCTGTTGAAAGGGATACTGGTGGAAGGCATGGTGGCTGGGTCCTGGCACAGCCGCTGTCAAGCTTTCTGGGTGGCAACGTGGGGAAAGGCGGAGCATGGAGCAGAGCCACCTGCCCACTGCTGCCTTCAGAGCTGGAAATCTCAATTCTCCAAGGACCAAACTTTACACATGAAAGTGCATTTCCACCAGCTGCAACTTTCCTTCCATCTGTTCAGCAGCCTCAGCCCCTTGGCTTTCCAGATGGGAGCCCAGCCTCCTTCCTGAACGGCTGCCTTGCCACCACCCCCCCACCCC